CTTCAAACAGGTGCTTTATACACAAGTACATTGTGTAGAAGCAGGAAACCGTAAAGTCTCTGCTCGAAGCTGGTGGTGTAGCCGAGCACCACTCTTAATTAACCTCTGCTCCCTTGCCCTGAAAGGATTTCACCAAACCGCTGGAACTCTGAGGAAAGCAGTCTGAAAACCACCAGCCACAATCCAATCCCTTCATTGTATAAATAAATCCATGAGGCTCAGAGAGGTGAGGTTAGAGGTAGAACTTAGCCCCAAGTCCACGTCTCTTAATTTTCAATCCCCAACCTACCTTACTACAACAAAATAAAATGGTTGCTTGTTCAGGTGTAGTCAGGCAGGCTTTAAATCTACCCCGTAGAATGTTCTGGTATAGTCAGGTTTGAGGTTTCAGGATGAATAATAAGTAAACCAGTTATTTTCCATCCAGGTGTTTTATATCACCTGTGGTGGTTGCTACCAGGTTAGTGCAGCCACCGATTACAGGGAGGAATGATCTATCTGGTCAACCAACTTGAGTGAAATCCATTAACAACTTAAAAACAAATTATGCCTAAAATCCTCGCTGTTGGATATTTTTTTGGTTAGTTACTAATAAAACATAGAAATTGATTTTCAAATAGTTGGAAAATACACCAGTATTTCCCTTCCCCTGTCCCACCCCCTCAACATATCCTCACCCATTCGGTAAACAGTTTATGGAGTAGGACGTTCTGCTTACTGAGGTTTTTCTGCTTCTCAGAATCAAAAGACATGCCCTCAATCCTGACTGTATATCAAGGACTTTCAGAGCAGAAAACAAAAATATGCATATTGTAGTCTGGGACAGACACATCTGCCCTCCCGCCCGGAGATTATCATTCAACAGGTTTAAGGCCACATGAATGTACAAAACTGCATTAACACACAGGAAAACACACTGAAAAACATAGTTCCACAGCGACAGTGGAAAGGATGTAGCTTCTCCTCAGTCAGAAAAAGCCAATACTGTTGGCCTTGAAAATGCCAAGCTCCAATTCCTGAGCCGTATTTGAGAGTCCTTCGGGATTAACAACCCATTTTTAGGGCTTCGTGCCTATTATTAACTGCTTATTTTAACTGTTGCTTGGCCCTCAGCTCTGAAGATGCTCACATTGCTAGTGGTAGATCCTCTTTCAGAATGTGGGAACTACCCTGAGCACTGCCCTACCCCGGCCCCGACAGCATCCTCAGAATAAGCTACTATTCCCAATGCTTTACTCTAAAACACATCTTGAAAGCCTGACCCTCTCTTAAATCTGTTTTAGAAGTTTCACCAGTTTTTCAGAGTCCAGAGCCAGATGGAAAGCCTTGGAACCTCGACGCAGATCCAAACCTATGATCAAAGTATCTGCTCTAGTTATATTGAGCCTAGTGCCTTGGATTCCATATACTTAGCAAAGATTGATGACTAGAGGTAAATTCTGGGAACAACATAATCCTCAGAAAGATTCTCTCAGAGTTAGACATCCCTGAAAGAGATAAAGGGTAGGAGAAAAGCTCCCTGACTTCCATGTTGGGGCAGAGAAACCTTTACCTCTACTATAAAATATTGACTGCTTGCTCTAATAATGTGATTGAAATCCATGAGGGAGAAGCTCAATACAACATTCAGAAACCCATAAAGGGAGGGTGCCTGGGTGGCTCAGTCGGTTAAGCGACTGCCTTCGGCTCAGGTCATGATCCCGGAGTCCCGGGATCGAGTCCCGCATCGGGCTCCCTGCTCGGCGGGGAGTCTGCTTCTCCCTCTGACCCTCCTCCCTCTCATGCGCTCTGTCTCTCATTCTCTCTGTCTCAAATAAATAAATAAAATCTTTAAAAAAAAAAAAAAAAAAGAAACCCATAAAGGGAGACAGCCCGGGCACCATAGTGCCAACAATTTCATCACAGAGACTGAAATCAAGGGAATCAGGCCGACTGTGACCACCAGCACCAGCTGTGCAGAGAATTGCAAAGCTACAAAGCAGGACCCACTTCTGGCCATGGAGAATCGTCACAAGATAGTGAGCATTACTGACAGGTGAGAAGCCATAGTTGTTTCTTCTCTGGGCCTGCATCTGAGCTTCCATTCTGCAAGCTGGCTTTGAAGCTGACGTTCTGAATCACTGTCTTGGTAACATGCCTAACTTGCTCCCTTGCTGCACGGGTAGGAGGCAGCAGACTGGAATGCATGCAAGGTTTAACCAAGTAACATGAGCAGCTGATGTGGATTGCTTGAGAACTGTGCACACTGAAAAGTGAATGCCAAGTCCCAGCTGCTATTTCCCTGAAAGAATGAGGGTCCAGATCCTCCATTTGTCCAGCAGAAGGTGGACGTCTGGATTTTTTTTTTTTTAATGTAGGCTCCATGCCCACTGTGGAGCCCAATGTGGGGCTTGAACTCACGACCCTGAGATCAAGACCTGAGCTGAGATCAAGAGTCAGACGCTTAACCGACTGAGCCACCCAGATGCCCCTGGATTTTTTTTTTAATGTGAAATCTCCTACTTTTCAATGTTTGACAACAAAGAAAAAATGTTATAAAAAAATACCCCCAAATGGTTAAAATGGCAAATTTCATGTTATATATATATGAATGAAAAATGAAAAAATAATAAAAGAAAAAGAAACAAAAATCATGTGGGCCAATTAAAAACCTAACATTCAGACCTAAGACCTGGATTGAGCTGCAGACTCCCCATTTTCAATCTCTGCCCTAGCAATAGGGCCTGGTATTCTCTTACTGCCATCCCAATCCCTCTCTCTCTCCCCCCCTTCCAAAAATGGGTTCATTCCTGGACTCAGCTCAAGGCTCCAGGTCCTGGAATCTGCCACAGGATTACCCTGGGTACATTTGGAAGACCTGAAAGTAGTTTGACCCCAGATTCTGCCAAATTATCAAGATGCTCTGTTCTTTGTTGGAATGTCAAAATTGGTTGCCCATCTAGACTGCTACCAATGTGTCACCATCCCCCAGGGTTCCCAAGGTTGTCCCTGGCTAGGTCTGCTTCCACTCAGCCCTGCCTGTCTCACACTCTCTCCATCTCTCCTGTCACACTGCAGGGGACCAGGCATCATTGACTCTGCCCTGAGAGGAAATAATAATTACAATTTGTGCTTCCCAGCAATGTGGTATGTTCTGGCACCATGCTAAGTGTTTTATGTAAATTATCTCACTTTATGATGCCAATAACCCTGTACATTAGCGTAATTTCATAAGGAACCTGAATGGCAGAGAGCTACACAATTCATTCAAATTTGCACAGCTATTAAGTGGAAGGTCTGAGATTCAAACTGAAATCAGAAGCCCATTCCTGCTCCACGGCCCTACATGGGAGACAGAGAAAAGGGAGAGTGGGGGGTATTTCTATGCCTTCTGCAGGTAGAAAGGGAAGATCCACTCTTTGGCATTCTTACTCAATTTCACACCATGCTTTGAAATTTCACAGTATCACTGCTTTCCAATGTGACAATGTTCTACACACAGTTACCTGTGGTTTCCAGTGTGTGGGGATTTTATGGCCAGTAATTTTTCAAAATATATTTCGGAAGCAACATAAGGTGGCTGCCAAACTTGTATTTTGCCAAGTAAGGACATTTTTAAACCTATAATTTGGCATCATTATCACTTCACTGAATGAAAACTATTTTAACAGACACATGCAAACACACCCACACACGTGTATATGCACACGCACACACATGACTCGCTCCATGGAACCAGGCACCCTGCTTGTCTTTGCCTTCATTCATGGCTGGTGTGTCCAATGCACATGGAGTTCCCAGCCTACAACTGCGGTGTTCTAGAACTTTGCTGGGAAGACCATTGTTTGGAACTTGGAAAACTTCATTCCGCAAAACAAAACGATGCCATTATAAATGATGGCTAGGTTCCCATTTCACAGGATAGATCTAGAATATCTTGTTTTATTTTAGATATGAGGTAACTGAGGCCCCCGAAGCTTAAGCAATGTCCTTAAATAACACCTACTCTTTTGCAAAGCTAAGATTAGAAGTGAAATATCCTCATAACTACTTCAGTTCTTTTTCTCATCACCAAAGACAATGATACTACACTATAATATTTAACATTATTAACTCAATATCCCAGTGGAGAGATAGCTTTGGAAATTTACGACCATTTACAAAAATGGTTCTGCGGAAAAATGTAATCGGTAGCACAACTGAAAGATATAAACATGCTTGTTATCACAGACACATTCCCTCGTAGTCATGCCTCACCTCCCCAACAACCTTGGCAAGGAAATAGAGTGTGATCCTCAGAAGTGATCAGAAGTGAATCTGCTCCCATCACTCAGAAAGAGAGAATCATTTGTCTTTTCATATAGGGAGTTGGCAAATCCATGCGCCTCTGAGAGTGTTTGTACTCTCATCAACACCCAACGGAAGACTGAAATTGGGTCACTGACATGTCACCATGGAATAGCTATTAGCATAATCCTTAATTGGAATCCTGTGTACTGTTCTGTTGGCTTAATATCATCCCTGTGCTTTAAAGAGAGCTGTCACCTGATTATATCATTTGAAGCTGGGACCCTGCAGAGAAACATGAATGTGCAAAGCCACACAAACGTGTAAAAGTCAAATATATTATCTCTTACAGAGAGATAGGAATGAATGTATTCAACTAAAGAAAGTCTCAGTTCAAGGAACAAATGACTAAAAGTGACCAGAGGTTATAAGACTCTGAACAATGAGTTTGCTCATAGTTTTTTGAAAAATATAATCATTAGTTCAGCCTCTCTAATGATGTTAATATATAAGCATATATGTACATACATATGATGTGTTCACATGCATGACATGTAACATATATATTATGCTGTATAGTGTCTATGACCATGAATATTATATATAATAATGAGTATTTTATATATGTGATATACTATAGATAGCACTATGTATAAAATATAGGTAATACTCAGAGGATTTAGGAGATCAGCAATCAGGGAAAGTATGTTTAATTACAAAAAGTGGCACCATACTTGAGAACTTCAATTTTCTTCTCCATTTTCCAAGGCTTGCATTTGACAGTAGCAATCATTTGTTTTTTCTCATCTAACTCTGCCTTCAGTCTTTCCAATTCCTCTTCATTAATTTCTTCTTCTTCTTCCCTTTAAAGAGAAAAAAAAGTTAAGGTTTCCTTGATTTCCAAACTTAAAGAAGAATGCTATCCGATACTCGGTCAATGTGAATCAGCTCGGCTGTACATAGTGGATGCTGAGATTTATAAGCATTAGAGCTTGTATCTATGTGAATGCTGATACAGGATTTCTGGAATTGTTACAACTTTAAACAATAGTGTTTACATTCTGAAGTCCTGTAACTGTTTTACGTCCATAGCCTCAAGGTCTCAGGACGAAAAAAATCTGTGAAAGATTAGTTCCAGATCTATCAACATATTTTCCTCTCTTCTTTGTTCCCTTGTACACTTTCCCACCAATTCTTCATTTCATTGAAAAACGTTACTTTTCAATAAGGATAGTACATTAGAGGTGAGGATGTCTTTGAATTGCCCTTACAAATTTGTTAGCCATGTCTCAAGAGAAAGAGAAAAATTGAATTAGGGGAAAATAAAAAATCTATTACTCAAAGGTAACTTAATCTGCTAATTAAATTCAAAACTTCAGTTGATAAAATTCAACTTGAAGTATATTTGGTGGAAGTGAATCCTTTGAAGAGACCTTCAAAGGAATTTAGTTTCTCACTGAGCAAATGAGATAGATGTATCTTTTCTCTTCTATATTCCTACGACTGCAAAAATACTACATAGTCTAGAATTAACAAAACAAAAAAATCTAAACATGAACATGATTTTAAATCAAGGAATGAAATGCCCTACTGTAATGATCAATTGTTTTAGTGATAGATTGTTTTATTTATTAAGTTATTGTCACTCAACTTCAAACTCACCCTTCTATAGTAAATATTGTGATGCTGGAGCTGGGACTCTATAGGGGACCCTTCTGCTTTGTTGGCCGGCTCAATGGTAGGCCACCAACAGAAAATACCAAGAAGGGACTTAGGCTTTCCTTTGGCTTCCTGGGGTGGCAGATCCTCCTTAGTAATTCCTCTTCAACCCACTAACTGAAGGGCCCTCCCACAGCTGCAGGTGAATCTAGTTTGCCAACTTTTCCAACACTCACAGAACCAGCTTCATCGCCACCCCCAAAGAAACCAAATCACTTTAGCATCACCTCCTCCTCAGTGGCTTCAGCCCCTGGCATCCTTCCTCTATGCTTCTAAGTTTAAATTTCAACCCCTTTCCACCATTCCTCCAGCCTCTGGAGTGGTAGCTTCTTCTCATACTTGCTGTCACCATGATATGTTAAGTGACCTCTTGTCACCTTTCCAGTAACCTAGTTTACATTTATACCTACTCAACAGTTCTCTGAGTAAATACTTTCTGTTCAATTAAGTGCTGAAGTTTCTTTCTCCTAACTAAACTCTGACTGACAAATTGTAATCTGACTTAGCCTTAGTCAGAAACATTGCTGCTCACTCTACTCCTCCTGACTCCACACAGCAGGACTACGGCACGGCTGCCTTTGAAAGTTCCAGCTGAAGAACAGGAGGACATAGCCATAGTTTTATGGCCCACCACACAAAATGACTTTGCCTCCTCCTTTCTTTCCCACCAACCCAGTTTTTAATCATGTCATGAAATAAAAACTCACATTAATTTTCTAAAATAACACTTCCCGTTGACAGTTTGGTTTTTTGACCATTTAAGATATTTGGCTTAGAATAGCAATTCACAGTAAGGGAACTATGGAAGTACACTCTAAAATACAAATCTGATTGCCATTAGGTTGTTTCCCTTTTAATTATTTGATGTTTAGTATATAAAATCTTACAGCGCTGAACAACTATGACATAAAATACTTGAGGACATTTTTACTACATCTATGTTCACAGTTGTTGTTTGCTTAATTTGCCAATCAGAATAATAATGTGTGTGTTGGTCTGTCATAAGAGGAAAACATATATTTTAGTAAAAATGATTGTTTTGCTTGTCAAATCACTATGTTGTACACCTGAAACTAATGAAACATCGTGTGTCAATTATACTTCAGTTGAAATAAAAGATTGTTTTATTAAGATTACTCAAAAAATTGTGTCCATGTAGACACAGACTAAGTCTAGATTACATAGTTAACTGTTTCATTGAAATCGTTATGGAAACTATCAAAAGGAAAAGAAAATATGTCAAGAAACTACTACAAATGGGGGCGCCTGGGTGGCTCAGTCAGTTAAGCGTCTGCCTTCAACTCAGGTCGTGATCCCGGGGTCCTGGGATCGAGTTGCGCATTGGGCTCCCTGCTCTGTGGGAAGCCTGCTTCTCCCTCTCCCACTCCCCCTGCTTGTGTTGCCTCTCTTGCTGTGTCTCTCTCTGTCAAATAAATAAATAAAATCTTAAAAAAAAAAAAAAAAGAAAAAGAAACTACTAAAATGAATTCAATCAGAAAAAAAAGAGCAACAAAAAGATTTAAGATAATCCAATCATTTGATAGTTTAAGTCTTTAACTTGCCCATCCTTTCAAAAAAACTCACAGTACAGTTGACCCTGGAATAACAAGGCACTTGGGTATGCTGACCACTGGGCAGTCGAAAATTCACAAATAACTTTAGACTCTCCCAAAACTTAACTATTAATAGCCTACTGTTGACCTGAAGTCTTACCAATGACATAAAGAGTCAATTAACACATATTTTGTAGGTTATATGTATTACATACTGTATTCTTACAACAAAGTAAGCTAGAGAAAAGAAAATGTTAGAAAATCGTAAGGAAGAGAAAATACATTTACAGTACTGTACTATATTTATTAAAAATAATCCATGTAAGGCAAGAATTTGCAATGGGAAAAAGATAGTCTCTTCAACAAATGATGTTGGGAAAACTGGAGAGCTTCATGAAAAAGAATGAAACTGGATGACTTTCTAGTACCATATACAAAAATAAGCTCAAAATGGATTAAGGACCTAAATGTGAGGGCTGAAACCATAAAAATCCTAAAAGAGAGCAACAGACAGTAATTTCCCTGACATTAGCTGTAGCAACATTTTCTAGATATGTCTCCTAAGGCAAAAGAAACAAAAGCAAAAATAAACTATTGAGACTACATCAAAATAAAAAGCTTCTGCACAGCAAAGGAAACAATCAACAAAACTAAAAGACAACCTATGGAATGGGAGAAGATATTTGCAGATGACATAATCTGATAAAGGGTTAGTATTCAAAATATATAAAGAACTTATACAACTCAACACACACAAAAAAATAATAATAATAATCCAATTTAAAAAAAATGGGCAGGGGCGCCTGGGTGGCTCAGTCGTTAAGCGTCTGCCTTCCGCTCAGGTCATGATCCCAGGGTCCTGGGATCGAGTCCCACATCGGGCTCCCTGCTCAGCAGGAAGCCTGCTTCTCCTTCTCCCACTCCCCCTGCTTGTGTTCCTGCTCTCGCTATCTCTCTCTCTGTCAAATAAATAAATAAAAATCTTAAAAAAAAAAAAAAATGGGTCAAAGACATGAAGAGACGTTTCTCCAAAGAAGATATGCAGATGGCCAACAAAGACATGAAAAGATGCTCAATATCACTAATCATCAGGGAAATGCAAATCAAAACTATGATGAGATATAACTTCACACCTGTTTAATGGCTAAAATCAAAAACATAAACAACAAATGTTGGCTAGGATATGGAGAAAAAGGAACCCTTGTGCACTGCTGGTGAGACTGTAAGCTGGTGGAACCACTCTGGAAAACAGTATGGAGGTTCCTCAAAAAATTAAAAATAGAACTACTGTATGATCTAGTAATTCACTACTGGGTATTTACCCAAAGAATATGAAAATACCAATTTGAAAAGATATATGCACCACCATGTTTACTGTAGCATCATTTACAAATGGCCAAATTATGGAAGCAGCCTAAGTATCCGCGGATAGATGAATGGATAAAGAAGATGTAGTACACTGGACTATTACTGAACAAGAAAAAAAAGAATGAAATCTTGCCATTTGCAACAACATAGATGGACCTAGAGTATAATGCTAAGTAAAATAAGCCAGTCAGAGAAAGAAAAATACCATATGATTTAATTCCTGTGTGGATTTAAGAAACAAAATGAATGAAACCAAAAAGAAAAAAAGAGACCAAAAACAGACCCTTAACAATAGAGAACAAACTGGTGGTCACCAGAGGGGAGGTGGGTGGGGAGATGGGGGAAATAGGTGAAGGGGATTAAGAGCACACTCATCATGAAGGCACTGAGTAACGTACAGAATTGGTCAATTGCTATATTGTACACCTGAAACTAATATAACACTGTATGTTAACTATACTGCAATTAAATTTAAAAAAAAAGGAAAAAAGTCCATGTGTATGTGGACCCATGCGGTTCAAAACCATGCTGTTCAAAGGTCAACTGTATCTACATGTAAGTATCTTAAAGCTTTATATTAATGAATTCCTGTTAAGAAACATATCTATAACAGTATCTCATTTAATCCAGAGTCATAAAAAATTTTTTAAAAATGATCTGTTAGGTATGTGGATTTACCATGTAATCACAGCTTATTTCTTCACATGCCAATTTTTAGAAACCATTTAATGGAGATCTTCCTAACACTAATTATATGCTTTCCTGCTATCTTAAATCCAGTACTTTATGTGTTTAACCTATTCTATGATTCCTTAAAACATATGAAATCTCTTCAATAACCCCCTTTTCTGATTATCCATATATTTATCATCCCATATAACAAATAGTTTTGTCTTCTCTAAGACTCCAAACAACTTTGTTCTTCTTCTTTGGCACATTTATACTGTCTTACTTCACAATAATTTGTGTCTAAGTGGCCTCTCCCTTACTCTATTATGAACTCCTAGAGAACACAGTCAATTGCATATTCATACCCATGTCTTCCAAAGGAATTAGCCAATTAGCTTCCACAGCAGTGGAGCTGGATAAATATTAACTAAATAAATGTTTATGTACAGAATCTTTCTGGATGACAGGGTTATCATTATAAATCCAGGGCTCAAAGTCCACTATAACAGAACAGCGTACTCCAAGATTAGTATGGTATGGAAAGATAAGAATAAATCCTTACGCTAAATAACCCCAGATGGGTGTATTTTTAAAGTCTTTGTTGTTAATTGCTCCAGACGGATAATGCGCTACCAGGTATAGTTGTTTCCTGAGTTATCTTCAAATAGGCAGGTAATTAAAATATTACTTCCGCCAGCATATAAGGGACTCGCTTTTCCAGGAATCACTCAAAGAAAGTGCTAATCATGTTAAAAGAAGATCTCATAGATATGCTTCATCTTCGAAAATGTAGGGCTAATCTGTGCAAGAATGGCTTTCTATCTTAAGTTTGATTTATTTAAACAACAGTTGTTGGGGGGGGGAGACATAATGTGCTGAATTACTCATTGCTATGAACATATTTCTTATTCACTTAAAACTGGGTCAGGAAAAGCCTGTCATATTATTAGAAATCCTCCAGAATTTCTAACGAGGCAGAGTTTTTCAACTGTCTCCAAAGATAGTTAGCATTACAGCCTTGGTTTTAGTTGGTTTCAAATGTTTTGTCAGTGCGGGGGAAATTCCCTTAGGTGTGTCACTTGAACGTTTAAGTTTAAAAAGACCATAAATCGGTTAATCTAAATAAATGTGCCCTGATTTGCCTACACCTTTTTTTTTCAAAATATATTTGCTGATACATTTTCTTTAAAGAAATACTTATCTTCAAAATGAACAGTAGAAAATGAATCATCAATCATCACAAATAATTTATGATACGATTTAGATTCGTTGTCCAAATTATGGCAGTGATTATATAACTTGAAAAACCTTTGGAGACAAAGTTCACGTTAGCCAAATTTGGCTGTGTGGAGAAGTGGGGAGGACAGGTGACAGGGGTGCTTGGGGGATTCTCAGAAGGAGGAAGCGAGTGGTACCCGCTAGGGACAGAGACTCTGGCACTGAGACAACATTCCCTCAGGCGATAGGGGCCGAGCTTCAGTTGATTCATACCGTCCTATATCTAGGGGTTGAGCAGTTCACATGAGAGCCTTAAGCAGACCAAGAGAGCACAGAAATTTTCATCCAACTCACCTTTTTAAAAGGAGAGTAAAAGCAAATTCTGGAACACAGCCTACATCATGCACACATCTATTGATGAAACAGTGCCATCAGCAAGCACAGGCATTGTTAAAAGGAAATATTACTACATCATAATAGTGATAACAATAAGACATAGAACTTAAAAGTGTGAGATGATTTTTTTGTTTGTTTTTTAAAAGAAAAAAGCATAAGAAGACATAAAAAGGAAATAGAAAAAAAAAAAATACCAGAGGCAAAATCTAAAGAAGGTGGTGTCTTGGTATTCAAAGATGGAAGAAATGAGTTTGGGGAGGAGGAGAGAAAGGAAGAGACAGAGGGAGATTTAAAAACTGAAATCAACAAAAATATGATGAAGAAACAGGCGCCCCTGTTTTTTTTTATTCCTATATTCTAAAAGAACCATCATCTATCAATGCTAAGCTTCTCTACCTGCCAAAATTTTCATACAATTGTATTTAATTGCAATTTTTTATGAAAAGGAAAGTAAAAGCTAGTTGTTAACACTAGAATGTGTCATTTGGGGAGGACATCTTAGAAAGTTCCTCTCTATCCAAAGTCCTAGCAATGTTTTGGAGGAGATTCCCTCACCCCATGGTGGTTCCCCACAGCCCTACTACCTGGGAACAACAGAGAAGCTGTTCTTGTAAAACCTTTCCCAGGGGTCTAGATTTTCTATTATTTGATGTGTGTCATACACACACTTTCCTTACTGGCCTGCCATCTGCAAATTTCCAGAAAGCCAAGACTCGAAAATTATTTTCTTGGATTTTTTCCTAAAGGGTATTTAATATATTATTTTATACAAAGTCAGCACTCAGTGAAATGTTTGTCTGGTGGAAATGATAGATGTAGGGTTGTGTTAAAAAGGAAATGACAACCCCAATACTCCATAATATGGGCCAGCACACTTTTTTTTTTTTTCTGTAAAAGAACAGATAGTTAATATTTTAGGCTTTGAGAGGCACATATGGCTCTATCCCATATTTGTCTTTGGTTTTGTTTGTTTGGTTGGTTTTTGTTTTTTGTTGTTGTTGGTTTTTTTTAAGATTTTATTTATTTATTTGACAGAGAGAGATACAGCGAGAGAGGGAACACAAGCAGGGGGAGGGGGAGAGGGAGAAGCAGGCTTCCCGCCGAGCAGGGAGCCCAATGTGGGGCTCGATCCCAGGACCCTGGGATCACGACCTGAGTTGAAGGCAGATGCCCAACCAACTGAGCCACCCAGGCGCCCCTGCTTTGTTTTGTTTTTTTTGAATCAACAACCCTTTAAAACTGTAAGAACGACTCTTAGCTCTTGGGCTGGAATTAGCCATATTTTGCCAAACCCTGCTCTATAAGGTAAAGTGATTTGGGCTCATTTTTTAGGAATTTTCGAATGCATATCATTAATGGAATAACTTCAAAATATTTAAATGAACTCTAATATATTAATAACCTATGACCGTTTAGATCTCTCATAAGGAAATCTGTCTTAGCCCATTCTTAATACATATATTCATTTTTTAATTGTATTTAAATTTTAAAATACATTTAACTAGGTGGAATAAAATGGCAGCATTGGATTAAACCTGTCGTCTTTTTAAAAGTTGTTTTTAATTACCAGTTTTAAGGCCACAGAGTGCCTAAAGGGAGTGGTCTTCTCTCAGAGTTAGGCACTTTTGAACGAGTCACAGTTTCAGTTATAGATTAGAGCTCACTTACGCTCCTCTTTTCAGCCTCCTCCTTCTCTCCTTCTCTCTGGCCTTCCTTGTTTCTTCATCCTCTGGTTCAGGTTCCGGGTCATCCTCATTGATAACATCTCTGGTCCGTTTCCTCTTTGGTCTCAAGCTCTCCCTTCGAGGTAGTTTATCTTCCTCCTCCTCTTCCTCTTCACCTAAACACAACAGTGAATGCTTCGATGAGCAATATCAGAAAGTTCTCTCTCCCACTGCCAAATGTATGCTTAGTGTCTTAATGACCATTGTCACACATGAGATCACAATCCAGCAAGTCTCCACATCATTGTAAGATGCACCATGCCATATATATATTCCATAGCCTGCCATTCAAACACACTTATCTAGAATCTCATTTCTTTTGTGGTTCATCTACTCAAATATGTGAATGCGGATCCCCAAATTTTAATAATCCTTAGAAATCCAGTCTTCATTTATATGGGTTGCTAGATGACTTAGAGTTTAATATCATACCATGCCCTCTAAGACCAAGGTTAGAGGTTACTGATCTAACACATAAGGATTAAGTGATTAGCTACTATATGTTTACTACTACTTCTATCTTAGAACAAAGGACAGGAAGGACAAGAAAATGCAACAAACTAGAATAATTTTGAAGAAACTAACTCAACCCTTGAGATTTCTCCTAATTCTAATTATCTTTATTCTTGATTCCAAGATTGTTCTTCTTTTCCTAAATATTTTCCCCTTTCCTAAATGAAATTGATACTAAATATATTTATTTACATAAATACTTGCTTGATCATAGTATCTTTATGAATAGAAATAGATAACATATAAATTTCATGTAAAACTGAGAGAAATGACATTTTATTTTATTTATCAATGCCTCATCTGTCCATAACTTCACTGGAATCTTCCAGATAGAGTAGAGAAAGAATCCAGTTCCTTCCTTCAGTTTATAACATACAATCTTACTTCACTTTCGTTTATGTGCTTCTTCTGATCTTTAGAATAATCTATTACTAAAAAATCAACTCATAGTTATCACTCTCCTCTTAAACAGAAACTACTATAGGGGCAAACTGTACTTTAATGGAAAACTATGAATTGTCTACAGTGTACCCTTTTGTGTTATCTGATTCTGATTCCGTGGGAGCTATTTTGTAATTTTGAAAGTTATAGATCACTAGATAGCAATGCAAAATAATCCTTGTCTGTAGACTTGTACATGAACACAGTCCAGTAGAGAGACAATCTTCCCTCACCAGAAAAAAAAAAAAAAAAAACTCCCACAAAACAGTCATGCCTCCATCTGCACAATCATTCCAATATCCCTGATCTATAAATGTATCTGTTCTTTGGATTTTCCTTTGAACTGGTTGCAACACCTACAGAGTCCTCATTTATTCATTAAATACATTCATTCTTACGTGTGTGTGTCATGATTTTATTTATTTTTTATCTTTTTTTACTTTTTGTTTTTTACTTTTATTGGGGGGAGGAGCAGAGGGAGAGAGAGAATCTTAAGCAGGCTCCACACCCAGCACAGAGTCCCACCTGGGCTCCATCTCATGACCCTGAGATCATGACCTGAGCCAAAATCAAGAGTCTGAGTCTTAACTAACTGAGCCACCCAGGCACCCCTAATTATCTTTTAACATTACTTATTGAATCATTTTTTATTGATATTTCAAATCTGAGATTTAATATTACCTATAGTACTAAAGTTTGGCTAGCAGAGAAAAACAGAAGGATAACTTTCAAACTAGGCTTTGATAACTATACACTGTCATCAAAACCAAGAATGATGTTCCACTTGTTAAATATGTGGCAAATGTTGTATGTCATGTGAACGCCATTCTGACATTCTGAAAATTTGCCCAGTCTTTTTTAGTCACATTAGTCACCATTTATGGAAAGGACAAGCCCTTGATAAGGATTGAGAAACAATTTTCCCACAAATAACTCAAGAACTCCAACAGCCACTTAGTACTATGCATTTTAGGATATTTTGTATTAAGACTAAACTATTAAACTTGCAGTTTGACCATCGATGAAAAGCATTATATCAGATTTCTCTTTTACCACGTGGCAACAAAAAGGCTGTTCTTAGTGCCTTCACTAGTTTCCAAATATTCAAATTCTAAAACAAATAATCATTATTTTGCAGTTGCCGGCTAAATGCAGAGTTGCATAAAGTTTTACTGTTGGAAATGGTCTCCGTTCAGTATGGAAGGGTAGCAGAATATGCCACCTCAAAATATGACTGCAGGAGCTCAGGACATACCACCCCAAACTGTGCCACTTTGGTATGTTGATTATATCGAGCTGTAGGTACTTGAAAAGCAGCAAATGCCTTGAAAGGTTTTTCCTGAACTCCCCTCCTCCACCCAAACACAGATCCTCCAAGAGGAACTGAATTGTCCTAAATCCCCTCACCACGAATTTCAATTTCACCCTTAGGGAAGACTGACTCATCACAAGGGAAGACCCTAGAAGTCAATACCACACCCAGACAAACTTTGTCACAATCATGCCTCCAATCTAGTCTTCAAAGGGCCCACTCACCTTTCCTAAAAATTATTTGGTCTCTCCTAAAAAGGCCTACACACACCCCCTTTTTTCCTTATTAAGATGGTATTTAAGTCTAAATTCTAAGCCACCTCATAAAGTTACTTATTTTTCCTGAGAATCTCTCGTGTATACATGAGCTATACATATTAATAAACTTTTGTTTGTTTTTTCTCTTGTTAAACTATCTTATATTACAGAGGTCTCACCTAACAACTCAGAAAGGCTAGAGGGAAAATTATTTTTCCTCCCCTCCAGTACTCAAGCCATGACATGCAGAGTCTGTGTGAGACTCTGAGCTGTTTGCATGTGAAACACATCAAATGACTGAAAACACTCGGCATCATGAACATTCCCTGGCTGCCATATTGTGCTCAGGTTATTACATTGATGGTGTTGACACATCCTCGAATTGAACTCTTCTTGAGATACTGCTCTTTCTTTCAGTTTTAGTAAATTCAGAGCTTTTGCTCATATAATGATCTTTCCCATGCTCCAGTCCATGAGTGGTCTGTATACAAGGGATCACACTCCAAACGTTTAAGCTAAACCTACACAAAGTAAAAACACCAGATAACAATACCCATGAATTCAGTACAAAAGAATGTGCTTATTCATTTTAATTGAACCACCTGATCAATTCAGTCAAAATGGCCAATCTGTTCTATTATAATAGATTGAGCCACAGAGAAGAGCTTTTAGGACCAAGACCTTAACAGGAAAAATAGTAGAGAAATTTTAAAAAGCAAATTTTTGTGGACTACCATCTACTTGATCATGAGTAACTTATACATTGGGTAGAATGTGTGTGTGTGCCAATTAATGGAATCTAGAGTAGAGATTCCATTTGCTGGACTTGATCTCTTTTGTGAGAACATCAAATTTTTCCACACACGTGGTAGCATGCACTCACATGTAGTAGCATAATCCAACACGATAAGAGGACAAGTCCCCCGAATTCACTGCTATTCTACAGGAAACTCATTCCATGTGGGTCCCTCCCCACTTACTTGAACTTTCTTCTGTGTCATCTTCTTTTTCCTCCACTTGAATTTGCACTGTTGAAGAAAGGACAAATACAGCAGTTCTTTAAATGACGGTATAGTGGTTAGTAACAGGATTTTACTGTTATTGTTTTCATCATAAAGTTTTCTGTGTGGTTAATGCAAACATTTTTCAGCGATCTTGTCAAAAACAGCATTGTTTATTAAAGATATACAGCCACGGCATCCTAGACAGTGTTGTGCAAAGACTTCTCTGCTTCATTGCCTTCAAAGACTTGCAAAACATATCAATTATAAGCCTGTCAGCTCAATTGAATATAACTGCTACCAAAATAAATTCCGTGTTGCAGTGAGTAGACTTGGGGTTTGCTGGGTCATTGCATTCCATGATAAATTGCATTGTTAGTAAAACTATATCCACATGCATAAGCAATGTGGTTATTAGAACCAAATTAACTTATTAAAATAGAGAATATTTTATTCTAACCTGTTACCAGTGTCAAAGAGCCTTTCAGAAAATGTCGCAAGACTGATATTTCCTATTTCAGTGATCTCTGTAGGTCACATATGGAGACAGCCTAAATTTTCCAACATAGGATTTACCTTGACGATGTGGGAACAGGTGATTTTGCAGTTCTTCCCAAAACAAAGAACAATTTTGTCTGTGTCTTCCTCACCCCAGACTCAAGACTGTTTTTTCTTTTTAGTTTTGTTCTATTTTTGCAAAGGCATCAAAGGGTTTTTTAAAAATTGTAATTAAAAAAATAAATAAATAAATAAATAATTGTAATTGTCTAATAATATGTGAAAATATATTAATTGGCAGATTTTTCCGCTTGTCATCTACTATCCATTCATCACAGGTCTCAGCCAGAGACAAAGCTCTGCAATTTGCCCAGGTAAAAATGAGAGTCGCCTATTTCTTTAAAACCATAGTCTCGTCACCTGTTTATAAAATAGTAACTGTATCATATTTTTACTTAAGTCGGATGAGCCTGAGTCTGAGAAAGTAAAGATGACAAAACAACGTTCCTGCCAACAGAGGCAACAACCTCTGTTTTGTTTCTGCTCACAGACCATCAAAGGTTATTTTTCAGAACTTGACAGGCACATTGAAAACGGAATGCATGCCAAGAGTTTAAATCCCATTCACAAAGAAGATTATTGTAAAAGCACTTTTTGCTTTTAAACAGCATCTGCATAAAAATTTTTAGGATATGCAAAAATGTTATCACTCAACGTCAGCCACAGAATGTGAAAATAAGTGTTCTTTTGTTCCGGGTTGGACACGTGCTTCTGTTATCGGCTGTAACTGGATCTGCACAGGACAAAGATCTTTGTGTCACTACTGAGAGTCCGCAAGAGTGAAGGCAGACACTTCTAAGAAGATGTTTTGCATTTAACAATCGGCCTTGGACTTTTATTTGTAATTAATGCCACCACCAAGCTTCTTCAGTCAAGGAAGAATTCCCTAGGAAGGCATTTGAATGCTAGAAGGTTAGCCTGGGAGCACAGTCCGATCTGTGTGTATAAGAACAGCTAATCACAAATAGCAAGAACTGACGCACAGCTTATTCTTTAACATCAGAGCCAAAGCAAAATCCACACAAAATATTATACGGATTTATAATAATCAACTTACTAGACATGATGAAATGAAACAGAAAAATCATTAAAAGAACAAAAATATAAGCAAATCTTTAGGAAGGATCATATGTTAAATAAGAACAGCAGAATGAAATGTCCCCAGCCAAGGAGATGAGCAACAAATCCATTTTCTCTGATAACCAGGGGAGGAGAAAAGGCAGGGCTGTAGTCATGGATCATCTTCTCAAGTACAGGAAGGATAGTAATAAATGGCTATTCAATAAAACCTACAAATCTGTCAGAGGAGACATCCCTGTGGTTGCAAGTAAAGAACTAAAAAAGTGCTATGGTTTCTAAGCCATGTAACGGAGAGTGTTGCAGAAATAGCCCCTTCCCTCCTCTTGAACTGACCCTCTGACAGTGATATTCCCCTGTGCATGATCATCTGCACATTCTCACTAGGTGCTTTCTTTACTCAATGGCATCCTCTTGGCAGTTGAGTCAGGGGCGATGTCAATGGCATCCTCTTGGCAGTTGAGTCAGGGGCGATGAAACAGTTGTCTCCCTAGTTATTGTGATAATTGGATTGTTCTTGACTCAACCCTCAGCAAAGGCATCATCAGCATCAAGAACTAAACAACAGCACTGTGGCCAGATTTAAGACTCCTTCAAGTGCCTCAGACCAACCTTGATTTTAATGGAACATTAGTTGACCTGAAAAGCTACCATCAGTGGTGGTCCATATCCCCTGCAACTCAAAGCGAAGCTAAAGAACCAAGCTAAGAAACCCCTCCAAGACAAAACCCTGTGCAAAAGAATACCTCAGAACATTTAAATGGGAGCTACAGACAGTCCTTCCCTCCTCAGACAGTTTTTGGGCACAGCCTGTTGCCATCCCTTCTCTCAGCAATCCCTAGTAGTTTATTCCCGATCATATGACCCCCTTATGCTTTGGCTGCTTCCCAAGTCTATTGATTATGTCCTTTAAAAATAACCTCTCTCCTGGGGAGTGATGGGAGGATGGTGAAAGGAGAGGAGGGGGAGGTCCTGTCAAAATGTTGGAGGCAGCAAGCAAAGCCACACTGAAGAATGCTATTTAAGAGAGGAATATGCAATCGGAGCAGATGAACGCCTAGGCAACCCAGATCCTCATTTCATGCAAATAGACCCAGTAATTAAAAACAGTAAAAGGAAACAACAGCAAAATGTCACATTTTGGAGGCATCGGAATCGTTTGGAGAAGTGGATGTTGTTCTAGGCTTTCTTTTTTAATCTATAGCACTAAAAGTTTATGGTTCTTCAGGTTCAAGGTAGCCAAGTGGCCAGAAAAGTTAAGTGGTGTTGCCTGTTCCTTTAACCCACACTGAGCTCTTGAAGAGATGTTTGGAGCACTAGGTGATTACTCTGGAAACTGAAAAACTCGTTTATCCAATTAGCATTTATTGTACACTCGCAAGGGAGTACAGAGCAAAATACTCTGGGGAGGAAGTTTGTAGACTATAAAAGAAAACATAAGGCGACCTTAAGGAGCCTTGCTATTTTTTTTTTATTCTTATATTAATCCCCATACATCATTAGTTTTAGATGAAGTGTTCCATGATTCATTGTTTGTGCATAACACCCAGCGCTCCATGCAGAATGTGCCCTCCTCAATACCCATCACCAGGCTAACCCATCCTCCCACCCCCCTCCCCTCTAGAACCCTCAGTTTGTTTTTCAGAGTCCATCGTCTCTCATGGTTCGTCTACCCCTCCGATTCCCCCCCTTCATTCTTCCCAAGGAGCCTTGCTATTTTATGCAAAAGAATGACTTTATAAATAAGATGCAAGATTAGGTATGAGTATCTTATCTAGCTTCATTGGGTGGTAGCAGTGATGTATTAGCTATGTTTATTTGGCTTCTTTGTGTGTTTCTTTTCAGGGTTCTTCTTTTTTTTTTTAATGTATGAGGAAATGTCAGCTTTGGTCCTTCCCATATAAATGAGACACATGTCACCTCAGACTAAACTGCATTGGAAGGGATATGCATCTATGCCGTAACAAGGACATTTCTGAATCTTAGCTGAAGAACCCATGCCAACAGTATGGGATGTGATGTCCATGGAATATGAGAGGAAGAAAAGAATCAAGGACAATCAGAAGGTTTTCACCCTTGGCACCTGGAAAGGTAGAGTCAGAAGAAAAAGAGATGAAAAGGCTATAGGAAGAATAGTCTCGGTGGGAGGAGCTGAAGATCAAGAGTTTAATATGACATACTGGAATTGGGTTGTCTATTAGACACCCATGCTTGAGTTGAGTAGGCAGTTGGATATTTGAGTCTGGAGTTCAGAAGAGAAGTCTTGTCTGGAAATACACATTTGGGAGTTATTAGCTCATTGATGCTAGTTAAAGCCACAGGACCAGGTGAGATCACCAGGTAAATGAATATAAACAAAACAGAAAAAGAAAACTCCAAAATTTGAAAGGACAGGGAGAAGAAGAAAAACCAACCAAAGACACTGAAAATGAATAATCAGTGGAGGAGGAGGAAAATAAGAAATGTGTTGTAGGCTTATAACTCAAATATAATGAGGACTAAAAATTGACCAGTGGATTTTGCAGTGTGGAGGTCAATGTCGACTTTGGCAAGCAGATATTTAGTGACACGGTATAAGGAAAAGCCTGAATTTCAGTGGCTTTACAAGAGAATGGGCAGTGAGGAATAGGAGACAGCTGGTTATGCTAGCCAAAATGTGCTTACATGCTGATGGCAGAGATCCAGTGAGAATGAGAAATTGACGTAGGTTATGAAAAGATAATATTACTCAACACAGCCCCATAGATTCTGAATTCTTTTAGTTCGTTGATGTGATTTTTGGTTTTGTTACTGAGCTGTGCGTCTCTGACTGAGTCTTTGTAAAGAGATGGGGCAACTTACTAATATACCCCTTGCTTATATATAGTGTCCACTGCATAGCAATTCAAAAGAATGGGACTAAAGGGTGGTGACGGAAGAAGAGAGAAAAAGAAAAATGGGGAAGAGTAAGGAGAAGAAGGGAAGAATACAGCAAATAAAGGGAGATAAAAGGGCAAAAATGAGGTGAGATTACAGTAAATAAGAGGGGGAAAGTATAAATATAAAGCAAAACACTGCATTTTGTCTTTGTTATGTGTTATAATTAAACATATGTGCATTCTTATACTTACGTAAATAAATATTATAAATATGAAATGTTATAAATTCTAAATTGATGTACTCAATGATATTTCAAAGTTTAGAAACACCTCAAGTTAACAAAATCTAGACTGTCTTCAACTATTTCTTCCATCAATACTTTTTTAACAAGAATGTGAAGGTCAAAGAGCTAGCAAATATGAACAAAATAAAAGTACATTTTTTCTTAAGAGAGTATATTCCAAAGTAAAGTTTGCCTTGTTTTGTAAGGAAAAAGAGTTATGATCCCCTTACCAAAAACATGAAACCTCTTTTTTCATGGGGAAAAAAAAGAAAAGAAGAG